TAAAAAGGACTCTGCGGACGTTGCAAATATAACCCGAGTATTACGCCCAGGGTCGAATCCACAGAGAGTTAACCTATCAACCACTATCTTCAGACCCACTAAGTCTTCAGAACCAGCTTCCCAAATATTCAAATCTCAGTTGAGTGTTCTTTAACAACTAGCTTGCAAGTAACTAAATAGCTGTAAACTAAACTAATAAGGTTGTAAACAATTATGGGACAAAGCTAAGGCAATGATTTCCCCTATTGATGGAATCCCTTCTGTTTATGCTCATACAAATTTACCCACACATCTCTATCAATCATGAACGCTAATTTTACCGTAAATCTCTCCCGAGTAATCACAGTAATTTACTATTGCACTCTCCCGAGATACACTAGCTTGCTTTATTTAGCACAATTCAATTTAGATTGCACCCAAGGCTTCGTTATTCCTAATCCCGCCTTTAAACCCGCAATTATAGATTCCTCTAATAATCTAGGAGTGGTGTTGTTCAACAATACCCTAAATATGCACTCTTTTCCAAGTTATGCACACTAAATAGGCACAGCTAATTGAGGATCCTGTCAATTAACTACAACGAACACGAAGTTGAACAAATAAAGATTAAACTAGCAATTTGTATTCACATAAACAAGAAGTTCATCACCCAATAGGTTCCATCAACGCCTTAGACAAGAAATTTAGCTACTCATGACTATGGGAACATAAACTAAGCTTGAATTCATCATAAAATCAAAAGAAAAGAAGAAAGATGTTTAGAGTACTTTCTCACAATTGTTTTCCTTGCTAAGAAACCTAAAAAATCAATACATCCTCTCTTGGGCGAAGTCTAATGTTTTAAATAGGGTTTAGGTCTAAAAATTCCGTAATTGACACTTTGGTCCCAGAAGTTTCTGCGCCTGCCGCAGTTCTGCCGCGGTCGCGGTAGAACCGCGGCCAAACACCCTCGCGGATTCTCACAACTTCTGCAACTGCTTCCCACCGCGGTTCTGCCGCGGTCACGGTGAAACCGCGGTGGATCCAGTTCTCTGAATCTTCGGCCTGTTTTTGCACGGGTCACTTAGGAAATTTCACAGTTGGCCTCTTTTTCATCACTTTTGACTCCAAAACTGCTCCTTAGCCGTCTTTATACATATATTACCTACAAATCATGAAAAACACTAATAAGAGCATTTTGTCATCACTTTTAGCAGTAAAACTACACAAGAAGGTGATTATTTAAGGTGTGATTATAGTCAAATTCACCTATTATCACTTACAAAGGAAAGTATGGGAAGGCTGCATATCCAAGTGGAGGATGCGACATGCTGTCTATGCACTGATAGTAAGAGGAAAACACATAAGCATCTATTTCATGAATGTAGCTGGACACTGGAAGTAAAAGAAGCACTGGATAGATGGACGAGCATCAGAACACAAAAGCAAGATACTATACAATGCTTAAAATGGATCAAGGGGAGGCACTGGAAACAATTCAAGAAGGAAATATCAGCGGCATTACTCGGAACAAGAATTTATCATACCTGGCAGGCGAGGATCTGGAAGCAATTCAGAGGGACATATATTATTACAGATATAGCAAAACAACAGATAGAGAAAGAAATAGTGGAGAGAATAGAATGTAGAAAAAACTCTAGGAAAGCTAGAAAACGTAAATATCTGATCCAACAGTTCTGTAACTAGTTATTTTCCTCTGTTCTGAGGCTTAGGAGGGTAGGCATACTGCTGCTTTTCCTAAGTGCTCGTTAGGTGTACAGTTTGGTTTGTCAATGATAATAAGATCACAGTTCAAAAAATTTAAAGGAATCTTTTGACTCTTTAAATAGTAAATCTATTACATAAAATAAAATAGAGAGAGTGTTATTTATATATAGTTGATTTATTCTTAACTTTTAATTTTATTTAGTATAATAATGATTTAAATTGAGCTTAAATTAAAAATCGATGGTTGATGTAGTCAATCCCAAACCTTGTTGGGACTAATAACTTATTTAGCCAAGTTTCTAAAATTAACTTATTTTGAAAAATATTTTCCTTAAAAGTGCTTTTTAAAAATGTATTTGGTGCGAAGCAATTTGTGTTTGACTAATTAATTTGAAGTCTGCGAGTGAGATATCCAGTGTCTGATGTTCGTACAACAGTATCCATAACTCCTTTACGGGCTCCGTAGCAATTCAAGGACCGGAAGCTCTCACAACGTCAAGGGAAAGAATAACTCTTATTGAAAGAAGAGCGAATCACTTTTGAGCAGCAATTAGTAGTGTTTGGTCAAGCTTTAAAAAATACTTGTATTTTTCTTAAAAGTATTTTTCAAAAAGTGTTTTTGAAATGAAGCTCCTACTTTTGTTTCTACTTAAAAACACTTATTTTCCTTTTAAAAATTTGGCCAAACACCTTAACTATGGAAAATTTTTTATTTTTGGCCAAGAAGAAGATTTGCCAAACATAAGCTGTATTTCATCACATGTTCTTTGTTTTCTTCTGCCCTTCTTTTCCTGTGCTACCGATCAACAAAGTACTTTTAGAGACGTACGATGAATTATTATGTAAATTGAGGAGTCAATTTCATCTTACCCCCTTAACCTTTTAGTGTTGGGAAATAATATCCCCTTCACCTTTTGAATGGGAAAGAGAGCCCCCTTTAACTAAAGAATTAACAAGCATAATGAGAAAACTATCACCGGAAAACTCAACCAGCTTTTAAGATAACTAAATCAACTTTAAGAAACTTAATTACTTAATTTGGTTGTTATTAAACTGATTCAAATACATATAGTATATTTTATTTTATTTTGTGGATCTTGTTATCCTCAATATGCGAGCATCTGGCTCCAATGACGTTCCAAATTTTTTTGTGCCAACTAATAAAAGTTGACGAAAATAGATTTAAGTCATGGTGCTGCTTAATCTCATAAATATTCACGAAATCGATGTGTGGCACCAACTAGTAGCTAGTAGAGCTTTGAGTTATTGTAGTAAAATACAATGTTCACAGACCAGTAATGGGTTAAATATTGTTTTAGTTTAATTTATCTTCTCGTTAGTTATTTTGCTACAGATAACTCTGCGCGCACCAAAAAAAAGAGGATTCGACTTTGTTTTTTTCATATGCTTTGATATTGGCATCAAACAAGCTTAGCTCAAATTTTTATTAGCCATAATTGTTGAATAATGAAGAATAAATGTTACTTGCGAGATATAACTTAATGTAAGTTACTTTTGATATTTAATCTTTTTCCTTTGTCCAATCTATTAACATCGGATTACATGCCTATTGTATTATTCATATTTGTAGGTTGATGGTTATTATCATGACATTAACTAAAAAAAGCAATTAAATTGGTTAAGACGCGATGACACTAGTTTTCTCTTCAAACAAGGATTGTTATATCATTTTGTAAATTCTGTGACCATCTTTTCATTTCCTTGGTTGTCTTTTGGGTCAAAAGGGGTTCCTTTCCTATTCAAAAGGTGAAAAAAAACTATTCAACTTGATGAGCTAAAAATAAAGATTGACCTCTGGTCTAATAGTTGGCTAAGAACGTGACAAGTACACAGAAAATGAACAAGACGGTGATATTGGTAACCGGAGCTTCTGGTTACCTGGGTGGACGGCTCTGCCACCAATTATTCAACGCAGGCCACCATGTTAAGGCATTCGTTCGCCATACAAGCAACCTATCTTCTCTACCTTCGCCTACTGATGGCGGAAGCGGCGGCGGAACCCTAGAGCTTGTGTTTGGAGATGTTACAGATTATCAGTCACTCCTTCAAGCCTGCTCCGGTTGCCACGTCATCTTTCATGCTGCTGCAGTGGTCGAGCTATGGTTTCCTGATCCATCTAGATTATTCTCAGTGAGCACAAATAATGCGTTTCGCTGAAGGAATATTTTTATTCGTAGAAAATGTTTTACTTTAAAAAATCATTTTTCAGTGTTGAGGTAGAAAAAGTAGGTTACACGTAGTAATTAGACATATACAAGTAGATGACGGTAGAATAAGAGGGAGTACAAATAGTATGTTTTGATTAGGATATAAAAATATTTTACTGAATTTGTGGTCTAAAACAACGCTAGACATTTCTGTAATTATAAATAACTTAAAAGGAAAATATGATACATAACTAACAGAGTGATGTTTTTGTGATATTTATGAGTATTATTGATTGTGCAATATAAGAGTAATCTTTTTGTGAGTATTAAATGATGGTGGAATGATCTGTTTTTTCTTTTTTTGGTAATACTTATTGCATTTATAGGTCAATGTTGGAGGATTGAAGAATGTGTTACAAGCTTATAAAGAAACAGGAACTATAGAGAAAATTGTGTACACATCGTCGTTTTTTGCCTTGGGATCAACTGATGGATATGTTGCCGATGAAACTCAGGTATAAAAGCTGATTTACTGTGTTAAAGATCTCATATTAATAACTAGATTTATTCCTTCTTTAGTTGAGACAGTTCACGTTTCAGAGCAAGCAAAGTCTTGTTTTTTGAGTCTCATCGTCACCTCTAAACTAATATTAGTCCCAAAAAAAAAAGAGGCCCGCAAGCTATATTTTGTATGATGGTGGTGTCGGGGACAAGTACTAGGTGGGCAGATGGGAAGAAATTATGTATTTTTTGGCTTTATTGGTATTTGAACAAGAGGCGTCAAGGTTGGCCCTACTTCATTGACAATTAGGCCACATCCTTGGGTGCAAATGTTTGACTAACATTACGGAATGCAGACTCATACCGGAATTTATCCAGGACTCATATATGGTCCTGGAAAGGTCACGGATGCAAATATCGTTGCACGTATGGTAAATATTTCATCCTTCTTCCTCTCCCCTTCATGGATTCAGCTTGATGTTTGGAACTAAATTATCTTTCAATTGATGGTTAGGATCAAAATAACTCGTTTTAATGCTGTGGATTTTGGAGATAGCTATATATTGGCAATGTTTTTGTAGTTGATTAATAAATTGTAGATGTTCTATCATTTCATGCATATTAACTGCTTCACCAAAGAGTAAAACATGTTCAATGATGCCAAACTCCTCATTCTGTAAGAGGGATGTTTGTTAATTAATTCTGTTTCCTTGAAATGAGAAGGAAGAAGAGGAGGAATGCTGATAAAAAGGAGATAATCAAGAATTTTGCATTTTTGCCTGTAAATTAAACCAATTTCGAACTGTAGGAAAAATTCCTCAATGAAATTTTTTGAAGGGTATTAGTACCCAAAAAAAGATGTTGTGGTGTCCAACGGGACGGGACGGGACGATTTTAACGGGACGGGACGAGATTTAGGCGGGACGGGACGAAACGGGACGGGACAAACGGGACGAAACGGTCGTCCCGTCCCGTCCCGCCAACCAAACGGGACGGGACGGGACGGGACGGGACGGGACGGGACGGGACGGGACGGGTTCGTGGGCCTTAGATGTATTTTTTTTTAAAAAAAAAAATTCTAGTTTTTTGAAAATTACTATGTTTTTAAAGTTTGCAACGGCTAGATTTTTGACTTATTTAATAAACTTAAATATTACTATGTTAGTATGTTAAAAAGAAAATTAGAAAACTAAGTAAAGAATTATAAAATATTAAAACAAAAGACTTGTAATGAAATAATCTAGTAAATATAAATTTATAATAGAGTTATAATTTATTTAATATAATTTCAAAGTATTAACTATTAAGTAACACCGACAAATCATAAAAATAATTCATCTCTTAGAGCCATTTATTTTATTAATAGAACTTTCAAATCTCAAATACAAATACAATTCTTTTGAAGAGCACCTAATCTACGCAACCACCTTCTAGGAAGGGTTCTGTTTGAACTAGGCCTCTTAGTAGCCAATTACAAATTATCATACTAATATTTGTAAGCTCCTATATAGCTTCTTTGTAACTTATCAATAATATCTCTTGGACATTCTACTGGAATTGGCAATGTTGATTGATGTTCCATGAGCTCCATGCCATCATCGCTCCCAGTGGTAAGTATCTCATTGTATTCTTCTTCCTCCCTAGTGGTTAGTTTTTCAAAACCAAGATTTCTTCTTTCTGAATTAATCCAATCTCTGAATAAGACGGAAATCTCTAGACTGTCCTCCGCTAATGAATGTCTATGATCTCCAATTTGAAATCTTGCCGCGCTAAAAGCACTCTCCGATGCTACTGATGATGCTTGAATAGCCAGGATATCTCGGGCCATAATTGAAAGTGTTGGAAAAGCCTTGCCACGCTCCCTCCACCATGACAAAAGTTGTTCCTTGCCTTCTTCGTCTTTAATATTTTCCAATCCTTGATTAAGATAAGAATCAAGTTCATCATCAATAGAGGAATCAAAACCTGTTATATCATCCATATCTTCCCATAAAACTTCTGCTCCAGACTTAGAAGTAGAAGGAGCAGTTTTAGTACTAGTTGTATCCATAGATTTATATTTATCAAACATTGATCTAGCATAAAAATATATGCTAGCTTGGCAGTTTTCGAGAGATGGTTGTTCATTTTCTTGAATTTCTAAATTCTCATAAATTTTACGAACAAGACCCTTTGCACCTCTTAGTTTTAAAGATGGGTTAAGTAGTGTAGAAATTAAATAAACTTCGGGAATAGGGAAAAAAATACTTTTTAAATTTTAAAATCATTTCTTTAATGGCTGGTGCATAAGTTGGATTTTTTTTATACTTACCAAATACAACAGAAATTCCACAAACATACCATAATATTTGTGTAATAGTAGGATAATATATACCAGAAAATTGTTTTGTAGCATAATAAAATTTTTCTAAAAATTTAGTAAGCTCTCTAATTTCATCCCAATCAGAATCAACAATTTGATCAACAGGGTAAGCATTATGCATATTAAATACTTTTTGGATGGGCACCCGATAATCATAAGCAACTTTAAGCATTTCATAAGTAGAATTCCACCTAGTACAAACATCTTTTGGAACTTTTCTAAATGGAAGGCCAGCACTAGCACATTGTTGAGCAAATTCACGAATTCTACTTTGTTTATGAGCACGAAAAATATAGCCACAAGCATGTTGTATTTTACTACAAGCATCAGAAAATAAATTAAGACCAACTTTTACAACCAAGTTAAAAATATGGCATGCACATCTAACATGAAAAATTATTGGATTAATTGGACAAAGTCTAGATTTTAAGCTATTTGCCGCGGTTGTGTTAGCAGAAGCATTATCTAAGGTGATAGTTAGAACTTTATTAATAAGCCCATAAAAATCAAGTATTTGTAGAACAGTAGTTGCAATATATGCTCCAGTGTGTTTAGAGTCAACAAATTTATAACCAATAATACGTTTTTGCAAGTTCCAATGATGATCAACCCAATGACACGTAACAGTTAAATAATCACAACCATTAGGACTACGACCTATATCAGATGTGATGGACACTTTACAATCCAAGTGATAAAATACACAACGAATATACTGAAGATATTCAGTCTGAAATTTAAAAACATCATTTCTAACCGTGGTCTTGGGAAAACCTTGAAAAGCAGGGTTATAAGTTTCTTGAATATAATGCACAAAAGCAGGGTGAGAAGGAAAAGTAAAAGGTAAGCCACAGACCGCCACCATTTTTGCTAAGTTCTCACGATCTCTATCTTTGTTATATTTGTGTAAAATATGACCGGAAGCAGGGTCAAATTGTTGTTGAATTTGGTTAGAACCAGATCCACTAGGAGTGCCAGTACTGATGGTAGGATCTATAATTTTTCCGGCTTCTATGTTAGCTTTTATCCATAAATCTTTGTGAGCACTTCTCAAGTGTCTAGTTAACCCCCCCGTCCCACCACTTAATGAGTGTGCAAATTGTTGCTTACATTTTTCACAGATAGCACGATGATTGACTTTATCATGTTTAAAAAATTCCATACAAGTGATGTTTTGGGACGTTCAAACCTTAGGCTTACCCTTACCAGGGGGTAAAGCTCCAGACTGAGATTGACTCTGAGTTAGAGCTTGTGTTGCGGGACTAGTGGGTGTTTCGTCTAATTCTTTCTTCCTCATTTTCTTCATCCTCATTTCTTCATCCTCAAAAAAAATATCGTTGCCAAATTGTCTTTGTAAAGTTTCATGATCTAATTTTCTCCGACATGAACATCATAAAATGTGGGGGGTTGAGAAAATGAAGTTTCATCAACATGAGTCATTTCATCAATATTCGTTCAACTCTATGGGGTATAGGAGAAGGGTTAGGATTAGGATTACTACTACTTTCACCTTTACTACTTTTTTTACTACTTTTTTTAAACATACCAAATACATTTTAGGTGCCATGATTTAAATACAAACTAAATTAGAAAAGCTAACACAAATATTACACAACACAAATGAAATACGAAAATATAACACGTAAAGTAAACAAAAAATTAAGCACTAAAATGATACGCAAAAATTATATATTAAAAATTAGGAGATGGAACGAGTGCACCGTGATTAAATATTGAAACTTGAAGAAATTGCCCGAAATATTGCTCCAAATACTTGACGAATTAATTTGAAGCTTGAAAGTTGCTCCAAAAAATTTGCCCAAATACTTGAAAGTTGGAAAGATATCACTTGATAGTAACAATATTGAGAGAATAATATAGAATATTAGAATGTAAGAGATTTGAGAGAGAAGATTGATTTTTTGTGGGAAAAAATGAAGAAGAATGGGGGTATTTATAGTAGAAAATAGGGCCAAAGTGTCAAATATTAAACTTAAGGGTTATATTAAAAGTTTGGGGGAGAGGGGGGGGGGGTTGGGGGTGTTTTGGGGGTGTGGGGGCTTTTTTGGACCGTTGACAACGGCTATTTTTGCAATTTAAGCCGTTGCCCAACGGCTAGGTTTTAATTAAAAAAAAAAACAGGCGGGACGGGACGGGACGCGGGACGGGACGGGACGGGACGCGGGACGGGACGGGACGAAGCGGGACGAAACGGGATGGGACAAACGGGACGAAACGGGCGTCCCGTCCCGTCCCGTGTCCCGCGTAACATTGGCCCATCCCGTTTAATTTTTAGCGGGACGGGACCGGGACGGGTCGCGGGACGGGTCGGGCCCGTTGGACAGCCTAGTTGTGATTAAGTTCCACAAACATAAACTTTGAGGTACTCTGTATCACCTTGTTTGATACGTTACCTGTCAACGAAAGAAAGAGAAAACAGTGCTTCAGGTCAATGCTCATGCTGCGATAGTAGGATTTAGCAACAACAATAACAACAACATACCCAATGAAATCCCACAAGTGCGGTCGGGGGAGGATAGTGTGTATGCAGCCTAAACCCTGCCTTTGTAAGGTAGGGTATAGCAATTTTACTAGTTAGCTGCTGTAATTTGATTTGTCAGACATGAAATTTATGTGGTATTGAGTTTTCACATAATTTTGTCAGATAATTGAACGCTTTAGTGGGCGTTTACCTGGTTACATTGGCCAAGCAAATGAAAGGTTCTCTTTTAGTCACGTTGATGATGTGGTTGACGGGCATATTGCAGCTATGGACAAAGGCAAACCAGGCGAAAGGTATCTTCTTACTGGGGAGAATGCGTCATTTAAGCAAGTTTTCGACATAGCTGCCATGATCACTCAGACAAGAAGGCCTTCATTTGGAATCCCCCTACTTATTATTGAAGCTTACGGCTGGATATCAGTTCTTTTCTCCAAATTAACAGGAAAGCTTCCTCTAATCAGTCCTCCGGTAAGAAACTGATTGACATTTCATGCTTTCATTTGTTATACTGGTTTTTCTTTATGTAAGTATGTCTTAAGTTGTATGAGATTTGAGATCAAACGGTGGTGACTTTTGGTTTAATACATTAATGTCACAATGACAGAAACATTGAGCTTTAGCTTTTTTTCTTTAAGGTTCTTGCCACTGCCCCGGCTTAAATTACTTCAGACCTGTTACTCTGAGATGGATAGTAGCGCCTTCTTATTTGGTTCTAAGTGTGAAAAATTGTTTTCTTAGCATTAGACCTTAATTCTTATCACCTCGTTAAACATCATCTTGAACAGATTGTTTCCGCGGCTAGACATCAGTGGGCTTACTCTTGTGGGAAGGCAAAAGCAGAGTTGGATTACAACCCCAGAAGCTTGAAAGAAGGTTTGTCCGAGGTGCTTCCTTGGTTGAAGAGCTTGGGATTGATTGACTACTAACAAATACTAATATTTTTTAATTGATTGTGGAAGGTTCTATTCATCAAACCACACCATATTTTTTGGTGGTCCAATATTTATAAGTCACTCTCATTAGAGATCACCAATATTAGTACACGTACGATATGTAGATAATATTAAAGAATATTAATCATATTAAATCATAAGCTGCTTTGTTTGAGCATGTTGCTTTAATAAAATTTTAACTATCATCTTGTTTTTCAGTACAATGTAACGAATAATCAAAATAATATGAAATTAAAGGAAACGAGTTATACAGTCATCAAATAACATTTTTGCTCCATAGTTTTTATCATTACATTTTCCATCATTTAGTATTATTTCATTGTTGAGATGATTTTTTTAGCTTCTCACTTAGCTTAATGTCATAGTCTATTACTCTCTTTTTGATAAAATATCACTACTAGAAATCAGATGGTTTCCGTCCAAGGCTTTCCGACCTAAATCGGTCAGAAATAAGAGTATTTGGTCGCAAAAGTCAACAAAAATTGCCTGACAACAAAAATTATGTACAAAAATAATTATTTAATAAATTTACCAAATTTCCGACCGAACACGGTCGGAAATTAGGTCAAGCTTGTATATAATGTATTAAAATAATTATTTATTAAAATTTTCCAAATTTTCGACCGAAATCGATCGAAAATTTTGAATTTTTTGTTTCCCACACAAGATAAAAATTATATATATTTAATTAACCAACCGAAATAATTATAATTCAATATTTTCGACCGAATTCGGTCGGAAAAATGTTTTTATAGAAATTAAATAAATTTAATAATACTTGTGTGTATAAATAATAAAGAAGTTTTAAATAAACAATATTTAATACTTATATCAGCAAAAAAAATTAAATTTCCGACTGATTTCGGTCGGAAATTGGTCAAATATTTGGTCATACTTGCATATTATGTACAAAAATAATTATTTATTAAAAATTTACCAAATTTCCGACCGAATTCGGTCGAAAAAAGGTCAAATATTTTGTTAAACTTGTATATAACGTACAAAAATAATTATTTATAAAAATTTTTCTAAATTTCCGACCGAATTCAGTAGGAAAAATGCTTTTATACAAATTAAAATATAAATTTAATAATATTTGTGCGTGTAAATAATAAAGAGGTTTTTAAATAAACAATATTTAATATATATATATATATATATATATATATATATATATATATATATATATATATATACACAC